CAAAATGTATAGAAACAATGAAGTGCTGTTGAGTCATTTACTGTATACTAAATTCATTATTGCTAATTGCTATGATAAGGCTAAGTAGGCACTAGGCAGACATTTTTCATCTACTTTCATTCCCAAGGTCACCTGACAATCACTCCACACCTGAACATTTTGAATAGACTGTAATGCACCATAGTGTAACCTAATTAGCGGTAACAAAATATAAGCACTATACTTATATGGGCTTACTACGTTTCAAAGCTACACAAAATGTCACAGGACAATCTTACCTAGAGCTACCTCACAGGACTTTTTCAACTGACTGTGATAGGACCTTTTTATATCCTTATCGGCTAATATCTTCTCTAACGCTCGGACTATAAACATTTCTTTAGTTTTTAGATTGGTTTGCATCATTATTTAATAAGGAAATCACTCCATTCGTTCCTATCGGAATCGACTCAATTGCGTGTTTCTATAGTCATTTATGGAGATTGTTGAGGCACTGTTCTATTGTATTCGTAGGATTATTTCTTCGATAAATAACAACACAAATGTAGCATCACAAAAGTCTTGGCAACGGATGGTTTTACGTAAAAATCATTTCTGCGAGACGGGGTATTTCACGATTCACACCTCATCACAAACATGTCAATATGAAACATGCGTTCAGACTTCAGTTTTGCTAAAATTTTGTATTGCGTAATATAACAATCATAAAATTAAATGTTCTATATTTTTCAAGGATTATATTTTAAAGAACTTAAGAAAAAAAATATCGATTGTTATACATTGATATCCGTTCTATAAATCACTTAACTCCAATCTTATACAAGCAATTTGAATTTTGCTGAAATGAACGCATTCATTAAGCGCGCTCTACACTCGCGCGCGATTCTTGCTGTGAATTCACGCCGCGATTCGCGCCGTACACTTCGCGTTTATATGACTGTGTCTCTCCACACTCGCGAAACCTCGCAGTCTCGTTCGCGGCCTCAATGGATGACGACGTGATTGTTGCTGCGTTGACGCTCTGTGCTATATCGTATTACAATTACCTATGTATTAAAAATAAGACACAAATAAAAAATGTTTAATGGGTTTATACATATATTTCACTTGAGCTTGCTCCACTATGAGTGGAATCCTTAACTTTCTTTCTATAGGTTCTATAACTGGACTGGAATATTCAAAATGTCACTTATCCGCGTCCAGGCATAGTGGGTCTTATTTTTATGGTCCTTGTGTTTGGACTGTCAAAGTATTGGTTCGGATTGAAAACACTCGATAAATTTCAACTTAAGTTCATTATTCCATGCCTAGTACCTACTCATTTAAAAAAAAAGAACGTTAGNTTGGACTGTCAAAGTATTGGTTCGGATTGAAAACACTCGATAAATTTCAACTTAAGTTCATTATTCCATGCCTAGTACCTACTCATTTAACAAAAAAGAACGTTAGTAAGTACGCAATAATGCACAACCATTTGCGACGGCGTCTTCTCAGCTATTGCGAAAAACTGCGAGTGTAGTTGCGTTCGCGATCGCGCGCCGTGAACCAAGCGCGAACCTTTGTCGCGGGACAAAAAACCGACAACGAACGGGGAACGGCGCGAAGCGTGAACGTGAACGCGCGAAAGTCCGCGAAACCATCTACACACGCGTTTCGCGGCTTTCGCGGCCTTTCGCGCCGCGAGTGTAGAGCGCGCTTAACATTAATTGCATAATCCGCCTAAGTGTACTCACAGAATACACTTACGATTTTGAAATAAGTTATGTAATTTAAATTTTCATATAAATTGTAAGATTAGAATTACGTTTTTAGTATATTTATGAATTATGCACAAATTAACATTCTTGCAAGCATTTTTTATTTATAATTATGTAAATATACATAGTATTACATATTGTCAGTTTGTTTGCTTGTGCAACCGTCCGGTATTTAACCATATTGTATTTTGTACTAAAGTTAATAAACACCTCATGATTTCCATTGAAATAGATTCAGTTTACAGTATTGCAGCACACCAAGCTAAACACTGCGGCATCTTAATATTGTAATAAGAGCGAGTTTTACTTTGCAACGAAAAATGAATGATGTGCGGTCGACTGTACCGATGTACAGCATCATATCATTGAAGCCTTCATTGAAGGTGTATAGTCTGGTGCTGTCGATACATAATATCATCCATTACAACTACCTACATAAGATGCCAATGCTAGCTCGATGTATCGTCCGTATGGAAAGATTTGAATTCAAACAATAATGATTCTGTTATGATCACATACTGCCTTTATAGACTATTTTCTATTTATACGGCTTCTGCATTTTTACATGCTACGCACACATTCCAAGTTCCATTTTAGGTAGTAAAATATTTTTAGGCCAAATTTTTTAAGGTTGTGAGGATAGTGTACCCTAAACGATTTCTAGTCGAAATGTCTCATTTAAAATATTGTTATGATGGATTGATGCTTGACACTTGCATTTTGTATTCTAGACCAAGAAGTGAGTACCTATGAAGAGAGTAGAGACATGTTTTATCTATGAGACATACCAAAAATTTTAATGAAAGTAATATTAATTGATTCTAATAAAATAAAAACAGTTAAATCTACAAAAAATGTTTTATTGCATACACGTATCAATTTCCGTTTTCACATGCCATTAGATTTTATTAAAATGTGTACATACAAAATGATAACAATAAATATTTCGTCACGCAATTGATAGTTAGATAGGTACTTGTACAAAAATACATTAATAATTTTATACTTCTTATCCTATTTTACAAATACACGTTCCCAGACTGATATTTAAAAAAAAAGTTACACAAAATGATTACTTACTAACTTTTATTGAATAATACTTTGCGTGCATAGTTTGCTATCTCGTGCAGAAATAAGTGGGGGTTGTATAAAATAATACATACTTAAACAGCTCAATGCATATTACAATGTCAATATCCCTTCTATGTCTTCCCTTTACCAGTTTGTTAAAAAATAGAATAGCAAAATAGGATGTATGTATTTTAATTTACTCTATAATTATAACTTCTTGAATATTTTAACTTTAATTCACTTAGTATAAAATTGCAAAATTTTACGTTTACATACACAACATCTTTTATTCTCAAGAATTTTTGTAGCATACCTAGAATTACCCTATAAAACAAGATACACATTATAACTAACACCTATAGATAAGATGACCCTACCCTAAAATTGCCATTGTAATATTTATTACAAGCTTTTTATTACTTTCACATGTCTGTTTAAATACTGGGCCTCAGCATGAACCATGTAAAAACCAGGCACAATATAAAAACTATTAGTAGATTAAGCTTAGACTTATCAATGCATTCCGCCGATTGCGTGTGCCGCCGGCGGCAGGCCACACAAAATTTTATCACGAATGTCCACATTTATATTGAGAGATTCTTCTTACAACTCTAAGGAAACTGGCGACGCGACACGACGGCGAAGCGGCGGCGATGAGGAGTAGTATAGCGATCGCCCCGCCTGTTTCTTGCGCGTCACCATATACTGTCCATGTTGTATGCATCACCGCCGCTCGGCCGTCGCCAGTTTCGTGCCCGCAGACTTAAATGATCGGCTAGTGTCAACTTAATACTACAACTAGAGGAAATTTCTTCTCACTTCAAGAGTCCACAGAGTTTGAGCAATAAGCACACACACGTTTTCACCGCGCCTAACCTACGTTCAACACTACAATTTGCTGAACTGCAAAATTAAACCTTATTGGGCGCGTTATGCAGAAAATAGCGCTTGTTAGAAATTGTTAGCAAAATGGCGATTGCAACTGCCGAAACATGTTTTTGACGAGAACACGTTTGCTAAACTTCAAAAGTGAAGATTTCCCATAAATTTTTTTGACAGTTCGGTCGCTTCGAATTCGAATTTCGTCCAATGACCACAAGCTACCCATCCTTATAGCTCGCGTGTAATTATATTGCTGTCGCGCTCGCACACTCCCTGTGGCTTCCCGTCGCGTCGCACAGCAGTGTGACAGCAATATAATTTTATGCGCTAGTGATAAGGATGGGTAGCTTGGGGTCATTCAATTGGACGAAATTCTATCTGCTCAACGACCGGACTTTAGCGGTATTTTCTGGCAAACGCGCGCACTATAGGAGATCACAATACACCGCGCCTAAGCGAGTTGGAGGTTAAGCGCGGACTGGTCGTTACACTAGAGCGCGGGCGAGGCGCCGGCGTTCAGCGATGGCGACCAATGTATTTAAGTCTGATCGCCATCGCTGCACGCCGGCTGATCGCGCTGGTTTGACTGAACCTTAAGCGAGTTGGAGGTTAAGCGCGGACAAGTCGTTGCACTCTGCTTCGGGCTCGGGCGCGGGCTCAGGCTCTACGGCGGGCTCGGCGGGGCCGGTGGTGGAGTCGGGGAGCGCTTGCTGGGCGGCGGGGGGCCCCGGCGAGGGCTCCCCGGCGCCCGCGCGCCCCTAGGCGGCCGCTAGCGCCTCCTGGTGGACAAACGACATAGTTAGGCCACAGAATAATAATAAGTACTACGTACAGAAGTTTTACTTCGCGAAGGTATTTAAAAAAATTTATGCTCAATGTCATTAACAATATGGTGCAATTTAGCTTGTCTCAAGAGTCAAGCACCATTTTGTTGACAAACGTCAGTGATCGGCACTGCGCCGAAGCTATAGGGCTGACTTCGGTAAAATGATGTGACGTGAGGTGCCAAATTGCGGAACATGGCGGAGGAAATACATGACTTAGCATGAATTATCATGAATAATATTAACCCATTATNTTTGTTTTATTCATTGTTAAAAATGTAATTAGCTCTTTAATTAAAGACATAGTTATGTCCAGCAAATTTATTAAATTAACATATTAAAGAAATTACTTTTTCAATTTGATTCTGACGGATTACATAATAATTTAATTGAGTTTGTAACAAAACGCGAATAAATGACACATGGTTTGATTGACATAAAAAAATATATTCTTTCTTGTCGTTGTTTGTCTGTGGTGCTGAACGGATTGTTGGTTTTCTCGCTGCAAGCCGTTTTATTATTTAAAATATCTAGATTTAGTTGAAATACCATTAGTTTTCTTTTATTTTCCTGTGTTACTAACAACTGACAAAATTGCTTCCACAATGACTGTGACGCGGGTGGCGGAGTCCCGCACAGAATTCAAACTAAAGAGTCTGCCTGAGGACGCTATTTCTAGCGTGAAATTTGCGCCGAAATCGAATCAGTTCCTTCTTTTATCATCTTGGGACTGCTCCGTGAGATTGTATGATGTCGTGGCCAACGTGGAGCGCCATAAATACAGCCACGAGTTGCCTGTGCTCGACGTGTGTTTTAGGGTAAGGATTTGGTTAAATATCATGTGGGATCATAACAAAAACATAAGGTTAAAACTTCATGTATGTTTTAGGATGCCGTCCACACGTATAGCGGAGGACTGGATCAAACTCTCAAGATGTACGACCTGAATGCGAGTTCCGAGACGGTGCTAGGGGAGCACAAGGGTGCTATTCGTTGCGTGGAGTTTGCGAACGAAGTGAACGCCGTACTGACGGGCAGCTGGGATGGCACTGTGAAGATGTGGGACAGCAGAGTGCCCAACTGTGTTGGTACCTACAATCAAGGAAATGAGAGGGTAGGTAGATGAGTCAAGTAATTAAATTCAAATAATTAATTTGCTTGAACTCCCAAATAAACTTTATACCAAATATGGTTTAAATTACTGTATTTTATATATTTCCAGGTATACACAATGAGCATAGTTGGTGAAAAATTCGTAGTTGGCACTTCAGGACGCAAGATATTTGTGTGGGATGTCCGTAACATGGGGCATGTGAACCAAAGGCGTGAGTCCTCCCTGAAGTACCAGACAAGGTGCATCCGAGTATTCCCCAACAAGCAAGGCTACGTCTTGAGCTCCATCGAAGGCCGAGTAGCTGTTGAGTACCTTGATAGCAATCCTGAGGTGCAAAAGAAGAAATATGCCTTTAAATGCCACAGAATCAAAGATGGCGGTAAGTTAATAAATAGAAAATTATTTACTTCTCTCTTTCAATAAAAAACTAATGGATAAGTAAAAATAATTACAAGAGATCAATAAATATTTTGTTCATTTCCAGGCCTTGAAAAAATCTATCCAGTCAACGCAATAAGCTTCCACTCGCTATACAACACATTTGCAACCGGTGGCTCTGATGGTTATGTCAACATCTGGGACGGCTTCAACAAGAAGCGACTCTGTCAGTTCCACAGATACAACACTGCGGTGTCATCGCTCAGCTTCTCACATGATGGCACTGCGCTAGCGATAGCATGCTCCCAACTAGATGAAAGTCAAATCGAAGACCCCAAGCCTGAGGACACGATCTACATTAGATATGTAACGGACCAAGAAACCAAGCCAAAATGAGGCGGATATTTTACCCGATAGACAACAGGCTGATATTGGGTGTAGTTAGTGTTTATGTTTGTTTCGTTAACTGCGTATTGTGATATAATGTTAGCTAAGCCCTTGTGTGCACAATCCAGGGTAATAAGATTGAGATTTTTTTCCCAAATCATAATTCATTGCATTGTGTTCTTTGTCCAGTAATGACGAATTGTTAAAGCAATTTCAATTAATTTGTAGTGTAATAAATCTCAAAAGAATGTATGTGGCCAATATCGTCTATCGGGGGTGTAAATGAGTTAGTTCGAACTGAGACGTCCTCAATCCTCATAATGATTAAGTGATAAATTCTTAATAAATACAATTAAGTTTCTTACCTCAACTGTTTTATTTTAATTGCGCGAAATTCACGGAACAGAATCGCGAAAATGCGTACGGAAGTATGGGCGAAGCTCAGCGAAACGAACTGAACTGCGTGTGTGCTGATTCGATCAATTTCGCGCATAGTGTAAGTTGTAACTGCGCTTGCTGATAGTAGACAAAAACATCGCGATGAATCAAGAACTTGGTTAAAAAGTTAAAAACCTTTGAATGTTTGTGAAACTGGAGTAGAATGCCAAATGGCATTAAGATCGCCTTATATCCCAATACAAACTTATTAAATGTGCCTATTCTCCCTTTTCACTTTGTCAGACAATCTAATAGACTGAAAATTATTAATTTAACTGCTTTTAAAAATAAAAGTTTTCAGCAAATATCTAATCTAAACATTTTTTAAAAATCATGATTGAAATGCAAACATGCTTTAATTTAACCAGTTCAAATAACAGCTTTTAGTACAGTCCCAATTCCTAAACTAATTCTACGAGCAACATTACACACAACGCCTGCTTTGCATTGAGGGCAATGAATAAAATATTTGATGCAGCAACAACATAGAGTTTCTAATGAATTCCACCAAGATGGGAAATTGAACTGAAATTTTGCTCACCATATAAGTCAGCTTGAATATTAAAACGCATTCCGAATGTGAAAATTAACACATTCGCGAATACACAGGTAGAGGCGGGCTTGCAATTAGATTTAAGAGCATTCTGTGATCCTGCTCAAGTCTGTTGGTATTTAACACAGGCCTTATTTGGTGTTAATAAGGTGTACAGTTTCGTGTACGTTGGCGTTTTAAAGTTGGCGCGGCGAAAGTGGTGGTCGGTCCAAATTGGCAGATAAACAAAGCTTCTGTTTGCGACCACCTGAAGTTTGAAGCATAAATACCTGGCAGCTTTAATGGCACTCTGTTAGCAGAGCCTTATACTGCGCTCGGTAATTATTCTAGTATTAGGTAGCAGCCCGCTAATTGAGGAAGTAATTCTTGCTAATATAACGGAAGCCGAGATTCTCTGTTTGTTAAAATATCGGTTTGTTTTCTTAACTGTGAATGTTCTGCGCGTTAGTCATAAATTATGGTGATGAGATCGTCGGGCTGGACGTAAATGTAGAGTTATTAATCATGAGCGAACTTAGCTCAGACTAATATCGAGTCAAATTATTACGTTACGTAATTATCCTGGTTTTAACTTTACCTACAGTTAGAATTAGAAAAGAAAAAAGAGACAAATGCAGCCACTAAAACAAACAGTAGGACCGTATGTTGCCTAACTACCTACCTACTTAAGTATAAAAAGTAGTCAAACCTACTCTAAAATGATTCCAATATAATTCTCTCTGGTGATACTGTATGTCAATAGTCATATCTCATGGGTTTAAGGCTTCATTAATTCAAATTCATACACGTCTAATTTCGGACCACTAAATGACAGTGGCCGCGCCCAGCCCGTCGCGAAAACCTTACGGTACCGCTGATTTATGTTATCTCTAACCTATCTACTGTACCTACCCAGGTCACTGGTGGCTGGCACACGCTTGTTGTGACGGAGAACGTAAACTTGCACGTTAAGACCAAGTACCTACTTAAACTTAAATACCTACTACTACTTACCCACGTATTTCCGACTGAGTGGATCACTCCCACTCTATCTATGGATGTCATAAAAGTCGACTAAGATCTCTCATCCTGTAGGCCTAAGATGCACCCCGTGATAGGCGATTATCACGCCATTTTATCGATTTTGCCCATACAAATTGACGTCGATAAAAGTTATCACGGCGCGCATCTTAGGCCTACTGGTCTGGTCAGTGCAGCGAGGGGAATGTAGGTCAAATCCTCTATCCTCCATGTCTCTGGTTACTTAATTATACAGTACAGTACCGTCTTTACTTCGACTAAGACTTCGATTCAGCCGAGAAAAGAAGAAGAATCTTCTTCTCTGTCTTGACAGAGAGTGGTCGTGGTTGTCAGGACTTCAGGAGTGTAAATTGTTGTGGGCGGATGTTGCTCTCTTTATGATGTCTCGCCATATTTCCCTGCTGGGGGTAACTCGGTAGAAAGTAACGGTAAAGTTGGTTGATTGAACCTATTAACCAAAAAAAAGGACTGCAGAAGTGGAGACAAATTCGCGTGACCGCACAGTTCACGTTACGTGCACAGTAACGTTCTACAGTGAAGATGCGCGCGTGGGCGGGCGACCTGTGACTCCTGCGCCGACAGCCGTCTCGCTCGCACCTGTCGCGTATGGAGTTGCACATATGATTGGCCAATGCTGCATAGGTCGCACTTAATGGGTTACTTGAATATCATTCGAATCATCATACGTAGCATTTGTAATTTGAGATTTTAAGAGACGGTTTCTTAATTATTAAGTTTTAACATAATATGTATCATGATTTCACTCCGTAAGCGTAGACGTGGATGATTAAATGGTCCTGCATAAAGTGAACTTCAAAATTCATAACAGCAGACCGCCATTTGCTAGAAAGATCAGAAGTTCTCGTCAGGATTTATTTAAACTACATTTTATGCAAACGAAGTGCAGGGTCACTTATACCTACCATCAAAAAGCTTGAAAGCCTACGGCCTATACTGCGAGCGATTTTTAAGCAAGAATAAGTTACCTTAGTACATTTTAAAATAACCACAGCTTTCAGTGCAGGCAGAATAAGATAGATGCGCAATGACATAAAACCTTCGGAAAATCTCACGACTATATTTTCTACGTAATCTGTGGAAAATTTTTGACGTCATTACGAATGAAGGTGTTTGTGAAAATTGTGAGATGTCAGCCGCACTTTTTATATTAATTATTTTTTGTGAAGCATAAATATTGCTTAGAATAATTAATACATTTTGCTAAAAATAAATACATTTTGGCGTAACCCTCTTCACCTCATACATACGCTGAAGAAGTGATTTTCCATCCAACAAGAAGTGTTTTCTGAGGGAGTTGTGTGAACTTTTTTATCGTGAATTTCAAAGGTTTGTGAAGTTATTTTGATCATTTAAAGTAGGTTTATAGGACTGTTTAAATCATTTACATAATTAATTTTTAATATTACAGACAATGGTACTAAAGTTGCGATCCGAGTTATGGAACAGTGAGTGTGAACCTCGTGTGATGGGTGGAGCTTTAGACCATGGATTAACCATGAAGTGGATTTTTCTTTGTGCAAACGTTTAATCAAGTGAAGACCTGGGCCTGACATGGCGTGATTGCGACAATATTTACACTTAATAAAGTGTGCTGTTAACACGAAATATGAAGTTGTGATCGGTTGAACACACGGCGAACTTGCTACGGTCCATCAGGTATGTTCATTTAAATATTTAGCTAGAAGTTGAAAACTTCATAGTCAAAGGTAAGTTGTAGATAAGTTATAAGTCTCTTTGACTCACATTTAATATTTTTTTATGTTTCTTAAAAGCATTTCTTTTAAGCTTTAGTGGATGAACATTTTACATCTTTAGTGTATTTGACTTGTTTGTGGAATTATTTGCCCAATAGTCCATGTGATAGTCATACAGGCTAATTTTTGATAGAATTCGCGTTCCACACAAAGAAACGTTGGTAACAACGTGTCAGACAGAACAGACAATAAAATGTCGTCAATTAGATTGCAAAATCTAATTTCGTGACTTAAATATTACCTCTAAGACCGTGTAAATGCAGTATTAAGCCAACGGTACCGGAGTTTATCTTCCTAACATAAATCAGACTAAATTAAATTGTAAAACTAGACAGCGTTAACCGTTCACATCGCCGTCTAATCCAGAAGCACTTTTCTCCACACTTGCTAACTAGCTGCCATTACCCGACCACGGGAGTTAGCCGATATGTTTATCGGGTAATAGATGAAAATTGCAGCCTAATTGAGGGGCATTAGGTAAACACACGCGCACACCCATCTTCATTACGGCGCTGACGCGCGCCTCACAGGCTACCGCGCGTCAAGTGGTTATAAAGCTGAGGGCACACGACATAACGTCTAAGTAGCTTAATATTACAGGCGTCTACATAGGATTTTAGGTATTGAGTTAAAGAATAGGAAAAGCCTCCTGCTAATCCAACTTACGCTGCTTCTTCTCAGCATCAGAATTCTCTGAATCAGAATTTGATGTATTTGCAATTTGTCCAGCCTCTTTAGACATACCTAATAACATTCGTGTTGTGAAAAATTTAAATTCGCGATCGCTTCACGACGCGGATTTGGTAACGTACCAAAAGAAAACGGCACGTAGCGGTTTCAGAATGAAATTACATAGGACTTGCTTTTACTTACGGCGATTAACTTGAAATTTTTATCTTGGTCCTTCAGAAAGCAGGGAATTCAAAGCTACTCTCATATTGGGTTGTATTAAGTCAGCAAAAGCTATCTATCGTGTAACTACATCCTTAAGCTTATCACCACTAACAAGAAGGGTTGACGTGGTCGTAATGAACTTGTGTATGATCAAAGAAACCGTCGTAACTCCTATATGATTAAAATTATTACTTAGTTTTGTTATTCATTCGTTGATGAGATAATTGCAATACATAATATAAGCAGATATCCACCAATAATAAAAATTCCAATATAGATACCAATTTTTCTTTGTATAAATTTTGGATTATGGTCTCCTCTCTCTTGAGTCTGAGTAATATTACTGCTAAAGATACTTAGTTGAATTGCATTAGGTATAAGGTATAACTGTAATGTTGTAATCCAATGATATAGAGGTGTCATTCAACATACAATTGTAGGCAATCTTGTGAAGTCTGATCGCTAATAAAACGAAGAAACGACTCGAAAAGATCTCACACGATCCAACTCGTCCATTGTAACACTCGATAATCAAGCACATCTTGTCATCTTTTGTAATAAATTGGTCATCGTAGCGGTATTCCGCCGGTTTAGTAGATGCCATAATAAAGTTATTGTGAG